GTAACCCTCAGCCAGGCCAAATGTTGGTCTGGATACTGGACTTTTTATTGGGAGTGTCCACAAGGAAATTTTTAAAAAGGTCAACACTCTTTTTGCCTCATTCCCCCTAAAAGAGTAGCACACAATTACTGAGGCTTAAGTGTACCTTAGGGTTTGAGCAAATGTCACAAGACAAAGGGAGTGGGACAGTGGTGGGTTCCGGATCCCGGTGCAACCGGTACGGTGCAACGTGGCCCGGCGTCCACCACCTGAACGCGCGCAGCACGTGCAGCATGCTCATGCGTCCTTACCTCCTGCGACGCTCCGTGATCCCTCTGCGATGTTCCAGCTGCTCAGCGGAGTGTCACACAGGTGCCGTACCGGTAAGGAGTGCGGGCAGGCAGGTGGATGCTTCGGAGCACTGTACCAGAACGGTACCCGGTGCTCCCAGCACGCACTGGTATGCCCGTACCAGGGCATACCAGTCGTAACCCACCACTGGGGTGGGAGCACTAGTCATTCTTGACATGGATACTTGTACTGCATACCAGAAAATGCCAAGCATGCCAATGTTTGGATGCTGTTAGGTGGCTTCAAAGGTAGTATTGGTTTGGACCAGTTCCCCCGAACCGGTAGTGGAAATCGCGGGTGGGTTCGCCCTGGCTCCATGCTGTTCTATTTAGGTACGTTTTCAAGCTACGCACATGCATGCAAGCCACATGCGTGGAAAGCCAAGCACATGCATGGACGGGGCACGCTCACACTTGCGAACAGGTAGGGAAAGTAAGTGAATACTATCCCTGGATGGTTCCAGCAACTATAAAAGAGTTGGTAGCCAGATGTTTCTAGAGTTTGAGGAGCACTTTGGCAGATGTTGCTCTTTGCCTGACACACTGAGCTTGCCTATCTATTTATTAAATTTATATGCCATCCATCTCACTGTTATACTACCCTGAGCAGCTTACAGCATAATAAAAAGATAATACAAAATAATTAAAAACGAAGGAAGATGAAATAAAGATTATAAACCATGGCATTGGCATTGGCCTCCTTCAGTCTCAAAAGACTTTGGAATTGTGCTCTGGAAAGAGGTCAAAGCTGGAGTGTCCTCTCCAGTACGAGGCCTGGGTATGGAGGATAGACTGTTACCCAAGCAGCAGATTTCCCCCTTTCCACGTCACTGAAATAGTCCAATGGAATGGCAGAGCCAATACGATTGGTTCCAGCTGTGTCGCAGGAGTTACCAGAACATAGTTGTACACAGTCACGAAGTGCTTCCGGGACTCCGGCTCTGGATTTTGCCTCAAGGTTGACTCCTGAAGCCTTTCCCAGTATATGGATATAGCCACAAAGCAGTGGAGGTTTGTAATCAGAGTTTCCCTTCTCCTAGAAGATGATCCTGCCGCTTTATCTGCCATTGGGATGTAGAGCCCTCTTCCGCCTTCAAAACCATTGACCGTCTTCTCCTGTAACCCTGGAAAGGGGCCCTTACGAGGTGCTACCAGCCGGGCCAGCTGGACCAAGGTTTTTTAAGGAGGTGTTACTCCTCCATCACTCATCCTTTGTCCTGGCTTGTGACAGGCAGATCCTGGCTTCCCAAACATTGGGCCCAGGATGGCAGGTTTGATGATAAACCAAGAGGACAGATTACCTGAGTGTGTGGATCTTCTCTCTACCCTGTCAGCCAATCCCAACATTGAGTGTCCCTTTTGGAGCCCAGGTCAGCTGTCACAGGCAGGTTTTGAAGGCTCTTCTGGAAGGCCAGGAGTGTGGGAAACAACCTCATCTCCAGGGTGGGGGGCGAGAATATTTCAGAGGCTGGGAGCCACAGCAGAAAAGGTTTTATTCCTAGACCCTTTAGCTGGAATTGTTTGACAGACCAGTTCTGAAGTAGACATGTTCAAGTGGGATAGGCCAATCCCTTTGGGGCCATTTTTCTTTTGGCCCTTCATCTCTTTTTTTACTCCCTCACCAATTTCTGCTCTCCCTCCCCAATCTCCCTTCAGCCACATGCAAATTTTTCAGCAGGGAGGAAAGCTTACCACAATCTGTTTCTTTATCCAAACTAAGAAAAAATATTTCTAAATGAAAAAGAACCCATGGCTAAGTCTTGGTTTTAAATTTAGCATGCAGCAAGTTAGATGTAATGTAGATCTTTTCTAAAAAGTCCGTTTTTAGAAATACTTTTGTCATTTTGTTTGGAACATTGCTTTAAATCAAGTGTGAGGCAAAACTGCTGCTTGTGATCGTAAGAGTGAATAGGTTTGGCATTTTTCCATTTGGGAGAAAAATGAGTATGGCATCCAGACAAAACTCGATTAAATTGTTTAGTCATCATCGTTGCTTGCAAGTGTTAGGAGTCAACTCATCTCTGTAAATTGTTTGCTGTCTTTCTGGAAAATTCTTTGCACAGCATGGTGTCTGTTTTATCTGAATGATGTCTCAGCTCATGGTTTGCTTATATTATCAGAAGCAATTGAGTTTCTTTCATAGTTTACATTATAATGACATTGGCATGCACAGCTTGTAACTCTCCAAAACATAGGCAGGAAGACTTGTGGGGTGGGATGGAAGAACACATTTTAACTCTGTTTGGTTGTTGAAGGTCACAAAGAGCATGGCTAAAGTGTAATAACGTTACTGGAAGGAGTTGAATTGAAAATTTCAGCTTGAAATTTTAGGAGCAAAGTTACTGATGAAAATGGAGGATCCATGTAAATTGAAGGTGCTGACCTCTGTCCTGAATTTAGGTAGTAGTACTTGGTGAGTCTCAGTGGTGAGTTTCAAATAATTCCACCACCGGTTCGCTGAAAATATGACCACGTGCATGGGCGCACGGCTTCCATGCATACCCACAGCTTCTGTGCATGTGCACGCCTTCCACGCATGTGCACACGCATGGCTTCTGTGTACATGCACAGCTTCAGCACATGTGCATGTGCATGGCTTCCGCGCATGTGTGGCGGCTTCCGCCATGTGATGTGGCGTGGCTTGACTGAGCAGCCTTTCGGGGCCTGCTCCCCTCCATTTCTGCTCTCCAGGGCAGCGGCTGCTTCTCTCCGCACAGCTGGGAGAGCGTCTTGTGCAATTTAGCAGCTGTGAGCCACCGCTTGTCTCTAAATCCCATCCGGAAAGCGCCGCGGCACAGAGAAGCAGCAGCCATGTTGAATGCTGTTTCTCTCAGCCACAGCGCCTTCCGGATGGGAGATTTTACAGATACGGGCCATTCTCAAACTGCCCACTCTCCCCCCCCCCCGGCAGCCCTTTGGCCTAGTGCGGCCGGCTGCAGGCCAAATAAATTGCTTTGGCCTGGGGGGGGAAGGCATATTTTCAGGCCAGAGGGGGTGGCATGCAGGCAGAGGCCCAGGACAAGGCCGGAGCCATGGAATGGCATGTCCCTGGGCCCTGACCCAAGGCGAAAGACAAACAGGCAGGATTCTTATCTTTGGTGAGCAGAGAGGACGAAGCATGGCAGCGAGGCATGGAGATTAGCTGGGCCTCATGGTGAAGGCAAAATATATAAGGTGGAATGTGGCGGGGCCAGTCAGAGGTGGCATTTGCCGGTTCTCTAAATTACTAAAAATTTCTGCTATCAGTTCGCCGAAACGGCTGGAACTGGCTGAACACCACCTCTGGTCAGTCTGATTCATAAGTTGTTTATGGAAGACAAATCAACTATCAATTCATGGTACACTGTTGACAGTGTGCAATCTTAGACTCAGTGGTGGCACAGATAAACTAGCAGTCAGTCAGCTAGAGTATAACGTGTACAAAATATGTACCTAAGTTTTGTAGAGTCGCTCTTAAAATACACTAAAATGTCAATTCCATCCACAAAATCCTCATTTTACTCACCTTGGAAGGATCATGGAAGGATGAGTCAACCTTGAGCTGGTGAAACTTGGCAGCCAGAAGTTGCCTGCAGTACTGCATTTTAACCACTGCACCACCACATCTCTTTATTAATTAATCCCATCAACATGCTGATAATACCCAATGATATTATGTTGGCCAAGGCAAATTAAGTGAGGCTGTCCAAGTCTTGTTCCAGTGTCTGAAGGCTGTGAAAACTGGCTCAATCGTGACAAGACTAAGTGGCTAAAAATCTTGAGGATCCTGCCTTTGGTCTTGGATGGAATTGCATCCTGTCTGGTGTGCAACTTATGAATCATCTTGGACTCAAGAACTCCTGTTCAGAATATGTGGCAGCAGGGGACGATAGGGCCTTCGCACCAGTTATGTCCTTTTCTAAACTAGAAAGCCTCTGAGACAGTCACTCACTCCTAGTCACCTAGAAGTGGGGACGCCAATTGGGAGCTCCTTTCACGTCCCCAATAAGAGCTGAAGTGAAGGGCAGGGGCTCACCCTGCCTCACAGCAGCACTAGGATCTCTAATTCGGGCTTGCTGCTTGTCAACCATGCTAACCACAGTACTCCTATTACCGTGGTGGGTTTCAAAATTTTTTAGAACCTCTTCTGTAGGTGTGGCCAGCTTTGTGGGAGTGGCTTGCCGGCCATGTGACCGGATGAGAGTGGCTTGCCAGCTTTCATTTGGGTGGGGGAAACCTGGAAGCTTTCAGATTCAGGTTTTCCCAGATGTGCCAATATGACATCTCTAATAAAATGGAACTTTGAGGAAACTCAAGTCTCAAAGCCTTCTTTCGTTGGGGGTGTTACTTGGAACCCTGACACTGTATGGGTGTCTGTANCTCTCCGGCAGGCCATTTATCTCAGTCATTCTAGGACGGGAGGTAGGCCTGGGCCCCCTACCACTTCTGCAATAGCACTCAGTGGAGGAGGCACCCGGCTGTACTCCCAGTCCTTTCATACATACACAATCGCTCACTCATACAATCCCCATATAAGTCAATTTAAAATTACAGGGTACAATTATAATAAAGATTCATAAAAGTGGGTACAAACATCAACCATCCATCACATACATATCACATACATACCCCATACAAAGAGAAAAAAATTGCGCGGCTGTTAAAATGTGCAATGTTCATACAAAGTTTGTGGTAGAGTGGTGAAAGGGGAGTAAAAGTCCAGGTGGCAGAGATCGGGTTCCTGAGATGGTGGAGGGCGGTGATAATCGTGGCCCGGGAATACGGTTGCAAAGCTGGGAGTCCAAGGGTCCAAATCTATGAGCGTGGACAGGGGGAACCAGATAGCATAGGTGGTAAGGAGAGAAGGCCCTCTCCAGCCACAGAAAGAGGCAGAAAGGGGAGACCCCGCAGGTTCCAAGAGCTCTCCCAGACGCAATAAGCTGAAATAAAAGGCATTGCAGATCGAAAAACACTGCCGGGGGGGGGGAAGGCTCGCGAAGGCCGCAATGGCAGCTGCACGCCAGGCGCTCGACCATCTTCGGCGCCATCTGGGCCAACCATCCTCTCGTTAGGCCAATGTTGATAACGCAGTCCAGAAGTTCTCTCCCATTCGCCAAAAGCGCCAGTTCTCACAGGCCTCCCAAGTCCCCTAAGGTCTCCAAAGTAAGGCCGAAATGCCGAAAAGGCCAAAAACGCTGCAGCGTTGACGAGAGCCCGAGCCAAGCAGGGAAGAGGGGACACCCCAAAGGCTGCGGCGGCGATGGGAGGCCAGCCGCCCGATTTGTCCAACTCTGGCAACAGCCCAGCTCGGCAACCTCCTCTCCGGGGCGATGGCAATCAAGAAAAACTCCCAGAGGCTTATCACGACGAGCGGACAGGGTCGGAAGTCAGTGCCGCCGCTAGAATCGCTGAAGAAAACGCCGCCGTTGACCATGCAGCGAGGAGGCGGGCGCTGCATAACAGCCGCTCGCCATTGCCCAGCACCACCAGGGACTATCCGAAGCCACCAGAGCGGTCCCCCTCCAGGTGTAAACGCCGCCCTTCCCGGCGAAACGCAGGCAAAAACGCTGCTCCGCTAGCTAGGAACCGCCGTCCGCGGAGGGGGGGGCACTGCCCAAAGGCTGTCCAACACCGTCCGACACCGCCGAAGCCCGTCCTAAGCCACCTGAAAAACGTATCTCCAAACAAGCAACCCTCCAGGACGTCTTAGATTCCTCTCACCCCAGTTCTCCCTTTTCAAAGGTCTGGTGATCGGCGGAGGCTCAGTCTAGGCTATTTTGTCTCTCTTGCAACCTGAGCAACAAGCTCAGGCAGCCATCTTCCATAGCACATGTGCAAAGATTCAGCCTAATTTATATTATTATTTTTCCTTTTAGGAACTAGTATTAAATTGCTGTAACACAATACTCCTAATTCTTTGGCTCTTTATAATATAGTAAAACAAAATGAAGTATGCAAGTTGAAATTTAAAGAGTTGTCAATATTGAATTGGTCTGTCTTCTGTGGATGTATAAACTTTCCAAATCATATTTATTTTTAATCAAAGCATATTTTGCAGATGTAAGACACCAATATTAACAAATTTTGCTAAAATCACTTTAGCACCACAAATCTAACTTTAAAAAGTTACATTTGATTACAATCTTGTTAGGTTTGTTCTATTCAATGACTTACAGATTGCCAGTTCATGGGAATGGATCCACACAAGAAAATGAAAGTACGTGGAACAATTCAACAGAAGATGACTATGCCAAATATTTCTGAACAAAACGTTCAAATGCATCATATATGGCTTGCCTAAAAGAAAAAAAAATTGTACTAATATAATTTAGAAAATGATTTCTATAAAGCTTTATTATTTTAAAAATTCAACTTGAATGCTGACACTATAAACTATAACTTCATGGTTCATTATCAGATTTTCATGGACAAATTATAATTCTACTTGCAAAATGGTTTATGCACCTTAATATTAAGTACCCAAATGAGCCTTACCCCTGAAACTAACTGTAGAATGTCATAAAACATTTCCTATGGTCAATTGATGATGCTTGACTGTGTTGTTAAGATATTTGACATGGACTGCTTTCAAGCAGATACATCTTTGATTGTCTCCCAGAGTTTTTAAGAATCTTTCCAAATACATTATGAGCTCTGCCACTGTTGAATCCACCGAGAAATCTGATATGGAAATATCTCTGGTGACTCAATGGGTCATGAATTATCTAGTAGAAACTAAAACCTAAAAGTTCATTTTCAATTATATCTCCTTTTACACCTTATTGATCCTTGGGGATATCCTACTTTCTGCATAATGACTTACAGATTGCCAGTTCATGGGAATGGAAGGCGGCTTTGTGTTTATGGCATGTACTTTGTAGCATCAAAAGTCTCTACACATATCTGTATAAAGTATTTAAAAAAGTATAGTAATGTTATTACTGTACGATTAGAGCTATTAATGCTCTGTGGAGTTTATTTTGTAATTAATTGTGCTAAACTGATTTTGAATATTTAAATAAGCAGTATACAAATAATTTAAATTATTTAAGCAGCAGCTAGACTTGATTTTCAGTGCTTACTCTGAATTACTAACCTGAACAATCCTTGTTTGAAGAGATAAGCACTAACATGACCTCCATTCAAGTATCGGACTTCACATCCTGGCCAAATTTCTTGAAGGCTACGCACTCCAGTTCTTGGAATATAGGCATCTTCCTTAGCTTGGACAACTATAATCAGTGTGGGGTCAACTGGAACTGAGAACAACCATTTATTTGAAGAAAAATTTATTAACTTTAGATTTAATATAACGTTAGAAATGTTTGTTGCATTACAAAATAATTCAATGAACACTCATAAGTACACCAACAGGTGGCAATATAATCTTAATAACTGCATAAAGCTTAGATTTGTATATAGTAGTATTAGAAAGTGTGAATCAGAAAAGTTTCTAACACTAAAATTACTTAAATTAAATCAGTTTTCTTCCTACTGCAGAAATAAGACTTTATATTCCATAAAGTATGAGAATGGGGCCAATAGTGAAGCAGAGACCCTACAAACTGCCCTAATCTATTCAATTATAATTTCACATGCAATATTAATTATATTACATTTATGTAATAATTAAATATAATCAAGCATGAATCAAATATAGTTTTGAGGTTGTCCTATCTCTTGTTTTTTGAAGTATGGTACACATGTCATTCAAATGCCATGTTGTAGAAAAAAATGTGTTATATCATTTCCATACACTGTAAAATCAGTTGCATAGCTCTGTTAACATTTTGCTACTCAAATCTGAAAGCAAAACATTGGTGATCTCAGCTTTGCATCAGTGGAACTAATAGGCCCTAACTTCACTTCCAGGGTTATTATCTACTCAGTATTGTCTTTTCCCAAACTCTGCATTTGTTTTTTCAAATCTTCCAAATGGTTTAATTATTTAATAAAATTGCAAAGCTGAAATTCATCCTACATTTAATCTTATTTAAAAGAAATCTTAATTGTGGTCAAAGCGTAGTATATATAAAAACTAATTATGCTCTGGTTTTTTCTTCAGACTATATCAATGTAAATGTACATAAATATAATTACTTTACATTTTGCATTGTAATGCAGATTACTATATTATATAGTTAGCAGTTCAAAGAAACATTATATATAT